GCTGAACACCTCTTGAAAGGCCTTGAACATACTAGTGCTTTACTAGTAACCCAGTTAGTGCCTACAATAGTTATTCATTCTAAACGTTTATTATTTTTGCTGGCCTTTTTGTCTTGGTTTTTTTTGTTATTTGCTTTTGTATGTACATATGAAAATTAAAACATTATAAAATGTGATCTATTAGCATAACTGTTTTGGGAGTTTTAGATGTGTAACATATACTTTTACAATTGCAGATCTTTACATGTCATGTTTTTCATGTGACTTGCAGAACTTTTCCAACAGTGTTACCAAAGACTACCATAAATCAATAAAGTTTCTGTTTCTGTTTTACAAGCCAGATTTTGTATGTGTAGTAACAAACAGCATGTTTTATAGAGGAAATATGTAAAATGTTTTGAAATTCATAATCAGATTTGGGGGAGTTGGTGACTAAAAACAGTAACATTACTAACTTTTCAGTCATGGCGAGTAATGTGACAACATGATTCTTGTCAGTAAATTGTTTGATTTGGACATTTTTCTTTAATGAATTATAACTTCAATTCTATTACTCAGTAGTGTTTACAAACTTTAATGGTGCTTTGAGTTTCAAAATCGATGTTTATAAAAGTAGTGTTTATAAATGTTTTTATTAGTTGCATTTAGTGTAACTTTATGTTTAAGTGTGATGCTATCACTCTACCTGACACCCTTATTATTTTTATGGCAGAAAACTGATAAAAATCTGATGTTTTTTCTAAAAGAAAAGGTCCCCTAAATATAGATTTAATGTAGTTTACTGTTTATATTAGTACTTGAATATCTTAAAGCCTCGTTCACACCAAGAAAGATAACTATAAAGATAACGATATTAGCGTCCACACCAGCGAACGATATCGTCTGTTTATTCTAAGCGCACATGCATCTGCCGCCTTAAATTCTTGAGCTCATTACAGTAGGATGGATTCTGATTGGCTGTCAGTGTTTTATCGTTCATCAGCTGGAAAAAAATCGTTTTGAAAGTGATCACAACGATATCGTTCCTCTGTATCGTTATCGTATAGTTGTGGTTTGAACTATGCTATTCTTTAATATTGAGAACTATTTTTAGAACTATATCTTTATTGCTATCTTTATAGTTATCATGCTTGGTGTGAACGGGCATTTAGTAACAAATTTTTTTAAAAGAGTTGCTTTACTATCGTTATTTAGTTTAATTTAAATACAATATATAATTTAAAATTAAACAACAGTATGTTACCAATTAAAATATTTACTATTTTACAGTACTTATGTTTTCTTGTAAACTGAAAAAAGGTTTTCACTTAAAAATTGTTAGTAAATTTCACAATTACAAAAAAATAGCAAGTAACGCTTTGAATTAAACGTGAAATGTTGAGATAGAAAAACTGTTATTTGTTAAATAATAAAGCTATTTATTTTAAAACTCATATTTTCTTTTACATTGTATGCTAATAATCTATTTTATTTACAACTTTAAAAAATCTGTAACTTTAAGTTAGAGACCAGTTCTCACTATTAACAAGTTGCTTATTAGCATTCATACTACTAGCTTATTGGCTGTTTATTACTGATTATTAAGCACATATTAATGCCTTATTCTTATTTTAGATCCTACCTCATACCTTAACTTAACTACCTTACTAACTGTTAATAAGCAGCAAATTAAGTGTTTATTGAGGGAAAAGTCATAGTGAGAATTGTTCCCCAATCTAAAGTGTGACCAGAAAATCATTTTTTACAGTACAGTAGTTTGACAAGCAGCAGTTTCAAAGTAGCTGAGGACAGTCGCCTGTCAACGCCACGTACGTGAAAGACCTTGCCTGACCAGAACGTCCACATTCTTGGTTAACACGTACTGAATACAGTAGTGCAGTTTTCTGCATGATCCTCTATAGAAACACTTCACGTTTACAATCCACGTTCTCATCGTGACCGGCATGAATGTAATCTTCACCTGCCATCAGGCTATATGAATGCAGCTCACCTCTCAGCTGCCATAGATCAACTTTCTCTGTCACTGTAAACCATTAGGCCAAATTACTAGTCATTTCATGCTGGAATGAGGGATTTAGATAATTATAGGTTCTCATTGCTACAGAAACTGAAAGATGTCAAGTTTATCGGGAAGTTATGTGTTTCTTGAAGGGAACACACTTTTATTTGGACACAAAGCATAATTGTATTATTAGGTTTAAGTGTCTAAATACTTTTTTAGGCTGTTGTTTATGTGTTTTTGTTGTAGTAAGCCGTGTCTAAATGTGTTTTTGCTTCGTACAGAAGTTTGCAGGATGGACTGGATTTGCATGCTTCAAACTGCTGACCTGCTTTGTTGTCTGTTAGTGTGCCAGAGAGAGTAACTTTACCCTCATGGTCTTGTTTCAGCTTCAGCCCACATCATTAACCATTCTCAAAGTCAAAGAGACGGAGATGAGAGTGCTCATGTAGCGTTACAGCAAACCTCTAACCGTTAACTTACCTGAGAGGACTCCTGAGCTGCATGTTGGGAATCGTGGTGAAATTAAACCACATAACCACATAAAATGATCGCTAAATGCTCTTCATTGTGTTATCCTCTGTTGAGTTGGTTTGCATTTCGAATATTTCCTTGTGAAAATGTTCCTGTTATGAAAAGCTTTTCACAGCTTATTATGTGAGGGAACTTGTAGTTTCCCAGGAACCTGACCCTATTTACTTTCAAATTCATGTTCCTGCTTTTATGGTGAGCAAATCATTGGTGCGTGCTATTCCAAAGAAAAACATATCTTTATAATCTTTAATCTTCTGAAATAATTTTCCTTTTTCGCTAACCACACATGGGTTATTGGTTAATGATCCAATCAATCAAATGGATAATGTTTTAAAATGTATTTAAAGGATGGCTTTATTTGCGTTTTCATTCAGGTCTCACCCCAACAATATATATTTTTTTTCTTGTTAAATATCCTATTTCTGAAAAATATTAGGTTATGGAAGCAAAATGTGTTGCATAAAGCAATTTATGTCAACTGATTTTTATCCATTGCAGTAATGGATTGGATCGTGAATAGGAGTATTTTTTCCTAGGAATCAGGCCATGTTTACATAAGTCTCCACCTGTTGGGAACAGAAATGGTCATCAGAACGTGGAGGCTGAAGATCAAGTTCACCCTTGAGAGCAACTC